AGCTGTGGGTTGGGGAGGAAGCACCATCTCCGCTGGGGCTACAATTGCTAAGGAAGCAGCCGCCTCTCCCAGGAGAATACCCACCTGGGGAAGGGGATGTCTTTGAATGCCCAGCCCCTGTGATCCAACTGCCATCCACTCAGGACAGATGTTCTTCTCTCCTTCCTCTGTGTGTGTGTGTGTGTGTGTGTGTGTGTCCACGTGTACATTGGGACTCAAACTCAAAGCCAGGACCCTCTCCCTTAGCTGCTTTTGCTCTACCATTTGAGCCACACAGCTTCATTTCTGTCTTGTTTGTTTATTTATGGTGGTTAATTGGAGATTAAGAGTCGCATGGTCTGGCTTTGAACCTGGACCCTCAGACCTCACTCAGCCTTCTGAGTAGATAGGATTACAGGTGTGAGCCATTGGTGCTTGCTGCCATGTTGGAGATTACAGCCCTCCTGGGGCCCACTTCAACAGGTTTCATGGTTCTATTTTCATACATGCACACAAACCATCTTGACCACACTCATCTTCACTCACCCTCCTGTTAGCCCAACCTCCTCCCTCTAGTACCCCCCCCCCTCCAGCCAACAGAGCCTAATTGTCTTTGCCTGCACTATTTTCTGAACAGGGTCTCTCAGGGACCCACGATCCACCTATTAATGCCATTTCAAGGTTGGATAACAGGTGCTTATTATTGTGTTCAACTTTTATCAGTTAAGATGAGGGCTGGAGAACTTCTCATCCAGCCTGGCCTCAACTCCCAATCCTCCCAATCTCAGCCTCCTGAGTAGCTAGGATCCCAGGTATGAGCTCCATAGGGTTCTTAGAAAGTCTAGGGTTTCAGGTAACCCATGGCTGCAGCCCATGGATTGTGGCTGCTGCCCCCTCAGAAGGAAGTATAAGCAGCAACTGGAGTCCCCATGTGGTGAACCAAATTCCACAAAAGGGAGTTTTGCCCTGGGGTTGTGTTGACTTTCCCAGTTTTATCTTCTCAGCAGGAAGGGGATGGGACAGTGCAGATGTTGCACAGTAGCACCTGGAGGCCTGGATGTGGTGTTATGGCAACTAGACCACAAGAGCAGGAGGGGACAAGTATCCCTGGTCCTCCTCTAAGGAGAGCAGATGATAAAGCCTACACCATTCAGAGGGGTGTCCTGTTCGTTCATGGTCCAGCAGTCCAGGCACCATGGGTAACTCCTGCTAATGAAAGAGGAGGGATAAAAAAAAAAAAAGAAAGAGGAGGGATCGCCACCGCAGACTTCCTGCCGCTAAGAAAGAAGAAGGGCGGGGCACAGGTGGCTCACGCCTATCATTCTAGCCACTCAGGAGGCTGAGACCTGAAGATCATGGTTCAAAGCCAGCCTGGGCAGGAAAGTCCGTGAGAGTCTGATCTCCAATAAACTACTAGAACACCGGAAGTAGCACTGTGGCTCAAGCGGTAGAGTGCTCACCTTAAGCTGAAGAGCTCAGGGACAGCACCCAAGCCCTGAGTTCAACGCCCCCCAATCAACAAAAAGAAAAAGAAAAAAGGAAGAATGAAGAAGGATGCTTAGTAGGGCTTGGTGGGGGAGGGGTTGGGAGATGCTCTGGTTTGGATCTAGCTTTAGTGTTTGAGGCTTGGTCCCCAGAATGGTGATAGTGGAGCCTAGGAGGAGGTAATCAGGTCATTGGAATGGATTAAGCTAGGTCCCTTGAGACCCTTGAGCTGTGGAAAGAGCGGATTATTGTAAGAAAGAGGCCCACGACCCTTGCTCATGCCATTGTGACATCATCTTCCTCTCATCAGAGCGTCAGGACCCAGGGAGCCCCAGGATTCAATGTGAAAATCACTACCCTAAAAATGGACTAAATGAGCACTAGTGTCCGCACCCTAAGGAAATCATCCAGAAGACAACGTTGTGAGGGTCCACCCTATTCAACTACATAAGTCGGAGGCAGGGACCCTAACTGTTGAATTCTAACACCCATGGTAGCCATGGAGTGCCGTGAAGGGTTAGATAAGGTGGTGCACCGCTCAAAGGCTCCCGACCAAGAGCCAGTGGCTTCTGACATCTAGACACGAACCCAGCATGCTTCAACCCCTTTGCTTGGTCTGCCCAGGTCCTCCACAGCAGGCTGGAATCCAGTCCTAGCTTTCCCCTCTACCCTGACCTTCTACCGCCCAATGACCAAGCTCAGGATGAAGGCCAGGGCAGCCCCCAGCTGGGCTTCCCACTCCCCACGGGGGGGGGGGAGCTGGCAGGCTAGGGGATGGGGAAAACACACACTGTTTGGGGGCGTTGCGGATACAGTACCGCTTATTTTTAGCAAATTGTTCTGACTTAGTGAAAAACTTGAAAGATAGTGTTGATAATCATCCTTATTTTAGTTCTGCAGATGGCTGGGCTATAATTAGACACTTGTTTCTGGGTGATTCTATTCTTCCCCAAAATGAAGATACCTTGCTTGGCACAGAAATGTATCACAGGAGGTTGTCTTTATTTTATTTTTAATTCGGGGGGGGTGTGCCTCCATCTTTTTTTTTTTTTTTTACTCTTTCCCCTTAAGCATTAACAACATTCGCGAGAAGAAAGTAAATGAACAGTCTTGCTCGCTAATATTAGCCTGCAGATAAATAAGGGCTGTAGCCCTTTTGTTCTTGGATCTAAGTGACAAGCAAGAATTACCCCCAGTTGCTGCCCTCTCCAAGGTGCAAGTTCAGGCTCCCTATGATGCATCTGTGATTAGGTGTTGGCGGTGAGATCTCAAACCCAAGTCTTTTCTTCTCTATGAAGACCCACCAGCTTCACAGGGAATGAGTGGGTTTTTCTATTTCCATTCAAGGTGTGAACCCCCCTCCTCCCCCCACCCTGAGCTTAGGGTGGGGAACCTACGTGAAATGCAAGATTGAATGAGTAAACCCTCATCAGGGCAGAGAACCGGAAGTCTCCTATCCTCTTCCGGTTCATCTATTCCTGGGCTCCACGTTCCCAGGTCAAGCCATGGACCAACATTGAGCCTTTCTCTGTGAGCTTACAAGTCAAATGACTAAAACACATAGAACGTACAGCCAAAAGGTGTGATAAGACTCTGTAAGGGAGAAATGTGAATGAGACAAGAAGAGGGAAATGGTGAATGGATGAGCCCATGCATTTGATAGTTAAAAAGAATAGAATTCTATTATTCTATCATTAAAGGATGAGGGTTGAAAGATGCAGACGTGAAAATTGGAATCCCACCGGGAGCACAAGGACCTCGGGAGCAAGTAGCTCTTCAAGTCCACCCATAATCACAACTCTGTCTCCAGTCTTCCCTTCTGCCTTTTCTAGCACATCAGCCCTCTGTCCTTTGCCCAACATGGGCCAAAAACAGGAACTAAGACAAGAGGAAAGGACAAGGCCACCACATGAGGGAGCCTCAAAGCTTTGTTCTCTGGCTTGAGATGGAATCCTGACATTGTTGTATCTCTGCCAGGGTGACACATCATTTGTCTAAGGTCCTAGAGTCTTTCCAGTCCCTCCTCAACAATCCCTAACTTACTTCCCTCTTTCCTAAGCCATCATCTCTGTGGTCATCCATTCCTGCATTGATGTCTGATGTTCTTGAGGAACTCTTCTCCACCAATAGATGCAACTGCAACAACTGGATGGAGTTCCTGAAGAAGAGAGAAGGGCTCCCACCGGCTCCTCAAACCCACTGGATTGTGACTTCTGTGTCCTATATACCCTGGTAGCTAAGCACTACCCAGTACTCACATCTCACTGGTGGAGAGGTCTCCTGTCCGTTTCCTTTTGTTTTGTTTTTAGAAAAGCAGCTCACACAGGGAGGGAACAGTCTAAATCATTTAGGATTACAATGGAACGTGGTCATTCTTGGCCTATTGTGCTCCTCCTTAAATTCTCTATTCTCCAGGGGATATCGCCTACAGTTTTTGTAAAAAAAAAAAAAAAGAGAGAAAAGAAAAAATTGTTTTCTAGCCAGGCTCTGGTGAGTCACACCTGTAATCCTAGCTATTCAGGAAGTGAGATCTAAGGATTGGGGTTCAAAGCCAGCCCAGGTAAGAAAGTTCATGAGACTTTTATCTCCAATTAATCACCCAAAAGCCTGGAAGTGGAGCTGTGGCTCAAATGGTAGAGGCTAGCCTTGAGCAAAAAAGCTCAGGGACAGGACCTAGGCCCTCAGTTTGTGAGTCCCAGGACCAGCATACATACATACACACACACACACACACACACACACACAATTGCTTACACACACACACACACATACACACAATTGCTTACACACACACACACACACATACACACAATTGCTTTCTGGAAAAAATAAGGAAAGATACCTCTTTTTCACTTCTATTTGGATACAGGCTTTTTATTATAATAATGATGGGGGATTTGACATAGTCCACCAACAAATGTTAAATGGATATTTTCGTTTTAGGTTAAATTAATAGCATTTACATGACTGGGACTAAGAAATCATGTTAATTATAGAACCAGTCCGAATCTGACAAATGTGATCCCCTCTCCTAATTCACCTCCAGCCCCGATCTGAGCCACATGCTCCCTCTAATTCTTCACTTGGTTTTCATTGTCCTCATGGCTAACTCTGTCCCACTGACATTTTTGAAACTCTAGTATGTCGGCTCATTTAACAGGCTGCCCTTCCCTTTACCTCCCAGGCCTGATCTGCTCTTGCCTCTGTCAACATGGGGCATGACTTGGCCTCTCAGATGGGCTACATGTCCTGCCATTTGCTCCTTAGGACCCTCCCTCTTCATTCCTGAGTCACTTGTTTGCTCTGTTTGAGCAGAAATTCCACTGTCTCCTGAGAGAAAATGAATTAAAATGTAAAAGCACAAACTAGAGATAATGCTCTGTGTGTGTGCACGTGCGTGCATGTGTGTGCCACTGTTGGGATTTGAACTCAGGGCTTGGACACTGCCCCTGAGATTTTTGCTCAAGACTAGCTAGCATTCTAGCACTTGAGTCACAGCTCCACTTCTGGTTCTTTGGTAGTTAATTGGAGACAAGAGTCTCATAGACTTTCCTACCTGAGCTGGCTTTGAACCTCAGCTCTCAGCCTCCTGAGTAGCTAACTTTTATTTATCCTTGAAAGATAATTCCTCCAGGTATCGAAACTTAGAATGAAACTAACTTTCCCTCAACACTTCCAAAGCACTCTTCCTTCATCTTCCATGGTCCAGTGCTGCAGTTAAAATTTCTACTGTCAGTCTTCATCCTTAAACCATTTTTTGCATGCATTGTATCCTGGCCTCCCAAACTATGGGAGGATTTTCTCTTTGCCCCTGATGTTTTTGGGTTTGATTAATGATACAACTTTTTTTTTTTTTTTTCAGTCTTGGGGCTTGAACTCTGGGCCTGAGTACTGTTCCTCAGCTCTTCAGCTCAAGGCTAGCACTCTACCACTTGAGCTACAGCACCACTTCCAGTTTTCTGGTGGTTTATTGGAGATAAGAGTTTCATGGACTTTCCTGCCCGGGCTGGCTTTGAACCGTTATCCTCAGATCTCAGCCTCCTGAGTAGCTAGGATTACAGGTGTGAGCCACCAGCACCCGGCTAATGATACAACTTGGTTCATAGGCTTTAAACATCATCATCATCATCAACAACAACAACAACAGAAGACCCCACAATGCATTATGTTAACAAGTTCTTTCCATTTGTAGAGTGCCATTACTTAATCAGTAATTTTCTTGTATTATTTCTTTGGCTACTTTTTCTCCTTTTATTTTCTAATCTCTCCCCTTATTTTATTTTATTTTTTTGCCATTCCTTGGGCATGAACTCAAGGCCTGGGCACTGTCCCTGAGCTTCTTTTGTCAAGGCTAGCACTCTATCACTTGAGCCATGGTGACATTCCTGGCTTTTTCTGTGTATGTGGTACTGAGGAATTGAACCCAGGGCTTCATGCATGCGAGGCAAGCACTCTACCACTCTACCACTAAGTCACATTCCCAGCCTGTGGCCTCTGCCCTTATAATTCCAGTTAGCAAAACACTGCATTGTTTAGTTGATACTTCCTGTCATCTGGTTGTCTTATTCTTAACCTCTTTTATCGTTTTCCTAGAGATTTCCTCAACTCTGCCTTCTGCCTGCCTATGAGCTGTGCAGTTACTTGTGATTTCATGGACTCTTCCTCTCCTGTCTTACCTCCCCAGGAATTTGAGCAATTGTGGCTCCATTCTGAGCTTTGGCTTCCTTCTCTCAAAGTCCTGTGTGTGGGTTGTTTTCTCCACGTTGAGAGAGTCACTCACATGTTCAGAGATTCTTGACGATCCGTGCACGTCCAAGGGAGAAGCAACCCCGGGGGGCTCCTTGAATGTTGTTGTTGGCAGGCATTGGCAGTAGGCTAGTAGCTAGAGCAGAGGTCTCTGTAAGGCATCTTTCATATGTAAGTGTGTTTAAGTCCCTGATCTAGAGACTTACTTGTTCCTACTTTCTGGAGTTGAGGAAATGGATGTTGGGGCTCTTCTTGAAGTATATATAAGGTCTTTCCTTATATATACTGTGCCCAGAGTTACCCTCTCCATTTTCTGTAAAGGACAATCACCAGGCTTGTCTGGGGAGGAATGGTGGACAGAAACAGGGTCCCACTGCATTTTTTTGCCAGTCCTGGGGCTTGAACTCAAGGCCTGGGTGCTTTCCCTCAGCTCTTCAGCTCAAGTAGCACTCTACCACTTGAGCCACAGTGCCACTTCTGTTTTTTTCTGTGTATGTGGTACTGAGGAATTGAACCCAGGCCTTCATGCATGCTAGGCAAGCACTCTAACACTAAGCCACCTTCCCAGCCCTCCCACTGCATGTTTACCGAGTCTGGACCCATCCCTCTGCCTTCACCTTCCCATCCTACTTCATCAGGTCACACCAGCTGTCTTCAACCACCTAGGCTACCAGAATCAAACCGATGGACCGTATTCAAACGTCTCTCATTGCCCTCACATGTCCCTGGGTCCCATCTTTCTCTTCTCTGCTACCATTTTCTTATCTCCATCTTCCCACCAGGAAAATGGGAGTGACCACGGTTGCCATGGCAACTGGGGGTGCTGGGAGAAGAAGAACGTTGAGTTCAGGGTGGGACCACTATGCTCAAGATGGGAACCGTTTGAGCTCTGCCCCCAGGGTGAGTTCTGTTTTGCCCACACAGGCCTGGCAAAAGGCACAGAGCCTGCGGATGGTGTCACGTGCTCAGTTCAGAGCACCTGCCAATCATCGGTGCCTGACTGAGTCTCTAGCCAAGCATGAGGCCATGAAGGACATGTAATTGGCTGTGCTCCACCCCTCTCTCCACCTCCAGGAGCAGGGGAAAGAGGTGTGGCCAACTGTAAACATGCATAATAATAGAGATGGCAGCTGAGACCTGTGTGGCTGGTGACGACTCTACACCGTACATTACCTGTCTACTGACTTAGCAAATTACTTTTAGCCATCTTCAAAATTAAGTCTGCCTTTGGGAGGAATACACTTAACAGGCATGATGGAATTGGGGTGGCTGAATGCACAAGGGCAGGGGAGATAGCTGATCTGCACTGGTGGGGATTTAACCCTTGTGAGGAGAGCTCTCTCCCTTCTGTTGCCACAGAGGCAAACCAATCCCCTGCCCTTCAACCTCCAGGAGCTCCTGACCTTGTAAAGAAGGCTCCAGTGGCTCACGCTCAGCATCCTAGCTACTCAGGAGGCTGAGATCTGAGGATCATGGTTCAAAGCCAGCCTGGGCAGGAAAGTCCCCATGAGACTCTTATCTCCAATGAGCCACTAGAAAACCAGAGGTGGCGCTGTGGTTCAAAGGGATAGAGCATCAGTCTTGAGTGAAAGAGCTCAGGGACAGTGCCTGAGCCCTGAGTTCAAGCCCTGGGACTGATAAAAATAAAATAATGGGTTGAGCATGGCTGTGGGTTCTAGGGGCTGGGGGAGGGGGGACAGACACCAGGACAGGTCCTCAGGGCCTTCTGGGAAGTGTACACTGCAGCCGGGTTTCAGGTCTGGTTAGTGGGGGGGGGAGAGAAGGAGGAAGCTGGACAAAGCACAGAGGACAGGCAAATGGATAAACAGATAGATGGATGGACAGACAGACAGAGGATGGACAGACAGAGCCCCATCCACCTGGGCAGGCCCCCAAGGCCCACCTGAGAACAAAGCTGCCAGCAGCTCTTTCATGAAACAAACACGGTGAATCTGGGTGTTCCTGGGAAACCCACATCCAGCTCTGCCTGGGCAGGGATGGTGTACAAGGCCACACGGTCTGGTTGCACTTGCAATGCTGTTGGCTGAGCTGCTCCCACCAGAAGCTCTGGGCAGCCACGCTGCGACCGGAGCCTCTTTTCCTCTCTCTCTCCTTTTCCTTTTTCTTTCTTTCTTTTTTTTTAACTTCTCAAAAGGAGAGTTGACTGTCTAGCTCTGATCCAAGCTGGCTGAGAGGAAAAGTCTGGAACCTACTGCGGTGGTTTCTTGGTCAGGGAGTGGTGACAATTGTGTCCTCTAGAGGTCATCCAGACAAGGGCTGCTCCACAGGGCACAGAACATCCCACAGAAGGAAGGACTTAGCCTAAAGTGTCCCCCGGGGATGCTGAAGAGGCCTGGGGTGGGGTGGGGTCCATCCAGGGGTGATGAGGAGCTCAGAGCCGCTTTCAGAACTTCCAGGAAGACAGGGCCCCAAAATCCACCACCTGAGGATCACCAGCCCCCTCAGGATCACGAGGATCGCCCCTCATGAAAGCAGTAAGAGAACAGATGTAACAGCCGCACCCTAGAGCCGCCTCTCCCAGCTCCGCACGCCCGCCCACGCGGCGTACCCCTGGTCATGGTGGGCACAGGGGATGCGGCGCCCGCCAGGGTGACACCAGGCGGCTATGCCTTAAATAGCCAAGGGGACCAGTCTTGCCCCTGGGATCTGGGCTCACCCACCTTCAAGGGGACCAGTCTTGCCCCTGGGATCTGGGCTCACCCACCTTTTGCCTCTGCCTGGACTTATCTGGGCAGGAAGTCTGGTTCAGAGCCATGAACTCCCTGAGGTCTGGCAGTGTTTCAGAGCAAGTATCCAGACATGAGGACATGACCACCACGTTCTCATGGCTGTTCCACTCATAGTCACATGGCAAGAGTGGCATGTGTAATTTAGCTAGGCTTCCTGGGAGGCCACTCACCATGAACATTCTCATTCCCTCCCACCCTTCCTTCCTTCCTTCCTTCCTTCCTTCCTTCCTTCCTTCCTTCCTTCCTTCCTTCCTTCCCTTCCTTCCTTCCTTCCTTCCTTCCTTCCCTTCCTTCCTACCTTCCCTCCCTCCCTCCCTCCCTCCCTTCCTTCCTTCCTTCCTTCCTTCCTTCCTTCTTTGTCGGTCTTGAACTGAAGGCCTAGGCACTTTCCTGAGCTCTTTTGCTCAAAGCTAGCACTCTATCACTTGGAGCCACAGTGCCATTTCTAGTATTCTGGTGGTTAAATTGGAGATAAGAATCTGCCCAGGCTGGTTTTGAACAGCAGTCCTCTGGTCTCAGCCTCCTGAGTAGCTAGAATTACAGATGTGAGCCGCCAGAGTCCAGCTTGAGCCTTTTCTTTAATAACCAAGGCGTTGTCATTTATTGCGAAGAATCTCCCTTCTTCTTCCTGAAGGAAGAGAAGAGTGGACTCAGGATCCTTTTGTTTCCCAGGCAGGGCAATGGATGGGGAGGTGGAGGTGCGGGAGTGGAGGCTTTGAGGGGGCAGAATCTGAGGCTGCTGTGACCCTGCATGACGTGAGAGTTCACAGAGATGGCAGGTGAGGAGAGGAAGACCTCAGAGCATCAGCTACCACCCACTTGATGCAGTGTGGATGGATGGCAGTAGCATGCTGGCATGGGGACATTCTTATACTGTCTTAGTCAACTTGGGCTGCTGTAACGAAGAGCCATATACAGAGTGACTTGTAGACGATGGATGTTTATCTCTCGTAGTCCCAGAGGGTGGAACTTTGAGGTCTAAGGTGCCAGCAGGGTCAGGTTCTGGCCTGGACCTTCATCTAGGTTGAACGTGGGTCATCTTCCTGCTGTGTCAGCAAACGGTGAAGA